TGTGACACCCATGGGGTGCCTACACCTGCCCACACAAAGGCTGTACTAGATGTCAGCCACCCTACGGTGAAGAAGACCCATTTCCTTTGCTGGTGTAGATGCAGCCTCAGGTCAAGCAACGGACACTCGGTGTGGAAGGTCCCACATCAGTCATACCCAAGTAGTGATGCTGGTGCCAACACCTAAGGCACTTTGGGGGAGCTGGGCAAAACCTTACTCCTCCAGGCTCTGCATGACTGCTCCTCTGAAGGCAGAGATTGCATAGGAACCAGTCCTGCTGCAGCGGTTTCATGGGATCGGGCCACAGGCAATATTCCCCCGTCTGGTTTAACATCAGAGCTGTCTCCTCTGCCCCCCAGAGCTCATTTTCCACTCAATCGCTCCTCATCAAAGCTGTAAATGTTACTGTGTCACTGCGAGGCCAGGCTTCTGCCCATGAAACATTAACTCTGCTCACCCGAGCGGCTCAGAAGCAGCATTCCCTGGTACCAGAGGTGCTCATGAACCCTGAAGATAAAAGAGTTATGGGGCTGGTCCCAGCCCTGGGCTCTATGTCATGACACCCCTTTCACCCCCATGTCTCCTATACATCCCTTCAGGGGACCCAGAGACTCATCATGGGCAAGCAGTGGCTGCAGGGGGGCAGGCAGGATGCAAAGCTGTGTCTCGTACTCATGGCTCTCTGGGGAAGGAGCTAGACAGGTGCTGGAGCTGCTGGGTGCTCTCAACTATGGTAGGCTGCAGTGAGGAAACAGGGCACTCAGCACCATCGGGACTAGGCTCTCAATTGATAAGAAACACAGGAACGTGTTTGGGGAACGAGGCAGTGTCCATGCATCAGGCCTTGGTGTGGAAGCCTCAGTGACGTGGGGATTTTTCATTCGCTGATGAGAAGATTGAGCAGATCTGGTTTCCTCCACCCATTCTCCTCAATCTTGCTTCCTCCCATGGCCTAGTAATCCCAACATTGCCCTCCATGAAGGGCAACTCATGGGACACATGTTGAACCCCACATCTTTGCTTGAGCCCAATGGTTCTCATTCACGTTCCTCTTGAAGGTGCCACATGGTGTAAGATGTGCGCACATGATCACAGGATAAACTCCGAGATTTCAAACAGGAACTCACGTGTTAAAGCTGTTCTGACCGATTGTGGTCTTCCTGAGTTCATTGCAACAGAAGAATTGCTCTAGTACTTTTCTGTAGTCAAAAAGCAAGTGAAAACGAAGAGCTGGCATTTCCCAAGGGATACGTTGAGTCTGGCAAGAGGTGCCTTGACTCTACAAAGGCTGAGAACCACTGCTTTAGTGTCTTTCATCACGTGTCCCTCATCTCTGTGATGCCTGTCCAGATCACAGCTCTTTGAGGAAGGAAGCTTGTTTTAATGGCCACTACACTGCCTTGTACATACTCGGAGCTACAAAACTACAGTCCTTATTATTATCACACTGGGGTCTCATTTGTGGCCTTGAAAAGTGGTGGTGAAAGATGGGAAGCCCTGAAGATCTCAAAGTTCAACCGCGGGTAATTTGGTTTTAATAAGTCAACAGGTTTTTACTGGCATTCACCAAACTCCTCCTACCGGCATCAGAGGGCCAGTCACCTTGGTCTGGGACAGAAGTTGCATGAATTGTTGCATCAGTCAGTTAAGTCTGATACTACGTTCAACCAGGTTTATCCCAAACTGGTTTTGGTCATTTTGAAACTGGTTTATGTGCACTGAACTCATGTTCAGTTAGAGGTTTAAACCAGTTTCTGATCGCTTAAACCAGTTTATGTGTAATGTCTTGTCCCTAGCCCTTCTGTCCAGCCTGGCTTGGCCCTTGCTGCAGGTTCATCTCAGCGGCAGGCTTGGTAAGCTGTTTACAGGTGTCTGGAGAGATGGAAAGCTCGTGGGATTTCATTTAGCCTGAGTGGTCTTTGATGCTGCAGCTTCTCCAGCCGAACCGTGGAGTTGCTTTCAATTAATCATTGAAAAAGACCCAGAAAGAGAAGCAGGGGGAGAACTTCCATCTCCAACTATAAAGCTTTGCCCTGTCTGGATAAAACTCCTCTTTACTAACACTGGCACCATCTTCACCCCTGGGAATCACCCCTGCAGGTGATGGGGGGCCAGCCTGTTGAAAGAGAGACATTAACGTCCAGGGAAGGTCTCTTCTGATAGTCCTGATGCACAGAGCGATGGTGGGGAAGGAGACAGCTCAGTGGGTGATCACTGAACATGGGGGTTTCACCTCTGTGCAGCCAGTTTGAAACCAGTCCCAGTGATCAGGGGTCAAACTCTATGGCAATTTAGCAGCTTCCAACAGACAGCAAGTGCCCAGCACGCGATGATGCTAAGTGGACATCTCAGCAGGGAGGCCCAAGAGTGAGCTGTCCCCGGGGGCTGAACTTGCCTTTCCCTCTCCACCATCGGGGCCGTGATAAGTTGCTATGGAAAACTCTTGCAGTGCTTGCATCTCTTCTCTGTTAAAACCAGCCGCCTCTGTCCCCAAAGGTGG